TGTGTGCAGCATTCACGGAGAATGACTAAATACTGGCCACTGTTCTGAAATACTCTGACACAGGCGGTAGGGGTGTGCTCGCCCCGAGGGCCCTCCCCACCTCCCCACCTCCTCTATCACTGCTCCAAGTGTGCAGGAAGACGCGCAGCCACATTCACAACTACACTAACACACTGTGTACAGGGCTCATCCAGAGGCTGCATGCACCCTCTGTCTGTGTCTGTGATCTGTGTCCCCTCACTCTGATCCCATCAGTCACCAAGTGTTCCTGTCACTGAGGGAATCAGGACGAAAAGCACGTAACTGTAACTTACTTCTATCTGAACTTAAAAAGGCAACGCCACTCTGTTTTGATTAAAGTTGATGCTCTGAAGCAGGCCCATGATTTGATATGGAAACTATGTTAATCTGGTGGGTGTCACGGTGTCATCAGTCAGTCACCTGCCACACTGCATTTATTAAAACTCCTCACTGATGCACTTGGCATTCACAGCTTTAATGTGAACTGCTTCGGTGGAGCGACTGTGCCATCTGCTGGAATAAAGAGAGACATGAAAAGAGACCAGTTTGTGCCAACGAACACGGGGTGACGCTGTTCCAGATGTTCACAGTGAGAGCAGGACCCAAAGTTGTGTTACATGATGGAGACAAGTACAAGTATCCACTGGCTTTTCTGTCCCCACGTCATTAATCAATGTTTTCATATATTTGTATGGCCTTATTACCATAAACTGTACATTTTTATATATACGCACAGATTCACAATTCACCAGCCAATGGTGAATTCATTATAACATGAGAGGACTCTATTTATACTGGGCTTGTAATTGCACTGTTCACTCTTTAAAACCAAACAAGGCCAAACACAATGTTATAAACTGATGTGTGACCATGTATTTAAGGTTACACACTTTGTTTTTTCTAATAAAATATTGTTTTATTCTATATAAATGCCTCAGACGGATAGTGTGTTAAGGCCCACCCTGACCCTCCCTTTGGCTCCTGCCATGTGTTCTCTCCTGTTGTGTTTGTTTCCTCCTGCAGGTAGTAAGTATGTGCAGTTTCCTTAATATTGTCCCACTGAAGGGTGAAAGGTTAAGACTGCTGCAATTTCCATCTTGGATGGTTCACTCTTTCTTCACCAGCACTTTGCCTATCACCAGAAACCTATAGGTATGTGCTTGTCTGGCTACACTTTGAGCCAGGAGTGACAAGGGTTTGACGCATTGTGTTAAAGCTTTGTCAGCTTTATGTATATAGCTGAGAAGCATATGAAAAAGTAGCTGCACAAAATTATTAAGAACAGCCGACTTTCTGGCTTTACAGATGATCCACTCTGCCTCCAGAGCCACAACCACCCCGTTGTTGTATGAATTTGATATGGTTTGATCCAGTTTGGGCTGGATCAATATTAACATTTCTCATGTTGATAAAATCACCCAATTTATTTGTAATGAAAATAAGAGGGTAGGGGAGGACAGGGGGTATTGCAGAGGCCTAAAAAATGGAGAACACACAACTATTGCCAGGCAGCACGTAACATGTTATATGATAATATGTTAGATTAAATACATTGATTTTTGAATATGCACATGCAGTCATCGCACATTACTAGTACTAGTAGTAGAGACATGTAAACCCTACCAAACACGTTGATAGGAATTGGGAGATTGTCACAGGAAAAGGCTGTTACCTGGAACTGTAGCTACCAGTGATTTAAGAAACTACACAAAATGAAAAACAACATAGTATTGACATTGTTTGGATTGCATGTAAAATCTAATGACTAAATAGTTGAAATAATGAAAACTACAACATAACCTTGACATTTGTATGGATCACATGTAATATCCAATAGACATAGATTAAATAATAAAAACTACAACATAACCTTGAGATTTGTTTGGATTTTATGTAAAATCTGATTAAATTAGATTCGTAATAAAAACTACAATGGAAAAGACCGGATGTGATTGAAGACATTGAGCACAGGTTATGACTCATATTTCTCGAGCAGCAGTGAGAAATGTGTGGTGTGAGTTTCAGGCACTAAACTAAAACAGACTCATCTGATTCAGGATTCTTTACATTTCACAGAGATGTACAGATGAAACTATCAGAGGCTATAGATTGATAACACGGTACAGTTCGTGTGTTTCAGCGCAGTTGGGCAGACGTGCGAAGAACCAGCGAACTACACAGGGATTCATCTTGACTGCGCAGGTTGATCTTCGGCCAGAATCAGAATCAAACCACGGGGCTGACTCCGCGACTTCTGATTGGTGAATTCCTCTTGACTGGGCGGAGACGTAGGCGGGGCCTCGGCTGGCAGGGATCGGTTGAATATTTGAAACAGAAACAAAACAACAGCTTCGTTCAGCTGCTGATACACACACACACACTGAAGACCTGCAGAGAACACACACACACACACACACACACTGAAGAGCTGCAGAGAACACACACACAGTGACTGTCACAATGATCTGCGGGTCAAACTGAGACACGCTAGCGTCACACTGAGGTAAGTGCTCACTGCAGAGCTGCAGACAATTCACTGTGATCCATTTAACAGTGCGGTGAACGATAGCACGAGAGGTGAGCAGCATCACTCTTATTATTAGATCGTATTATTAGACACAACATCATGCTATGTGTTGCGTACTGCTGGCTGTCAGGGTTTGCCTCAGGGTGTTTCTCCCGTGATTTCTGTTATGTGTGCTGAAGTGCATGACATTGAAGACAAAAACAACACAACAGCATTAAAGGTCCATCGCCAGTGTCAGTTTTAAATTTAGACAGGCGGCCCTGCATAGATCCATCTGAGCCCATTAAAGGTGCAGACTGAGCTTTATCCTGACAAGACGCTGGATAAAGAGAGCCCCTCCCCCATATATATCCAGAAACAGATGGACCCTAACAATGAAAATCTGGGGGAGTAGGCATCATTATTCAAACCACTGAATCAGAAGAAATCTCATTGGACGCCCCAGTCAGCTGACCAAACATTGCTTGAATTTTTGAAAAATGGTTATGAAGGAAAGGTGGTCTCGTGGCATCACCCACTCCCAAACAGTCAAAGATGGATTAGCGTTAGCGTCACTGAGGGAAGCAGTGATGCTGAATGAACTCATGACTCATGAGCTGGTGTTTCTTCTTGTATCAAACAGTTAAAGAGCCAAACAGCACCTGAGCTTCCTGCTTGAACAAAGATAGGAGCAAACACAGGAAACACTTTGGGAGAAGACAAAGAGAAATGTTCAGAACCATCACCCGTCTGTTTTTTGGGGGAGAGGAGGAGACCCCTGAAGAAGTCAAGTCTGGAGAAGTGGTGGAAGAAGGATGGCTTGTTGTCAATCATCACGGTCAGTCATGGAGCATCTTTAGTTCTCCAAGAAAATGTTATATTAAGAATATCTGTATTATGACTATGTTTATCAACCTTACAAATATACAGTGTTACAGATGTAAACAGGAAGGTGTTAGTGATTATCTCTGGCAAAAGCAGAGAAGGACAGTTGAAATCACATCAGAGCTTGTTGATGTGCTCTGTTACACGTGACTTCTATTGCACTCCTGTCTGTTCTTGTAGAGGTGACTCTCTCTGAGGTCTCTACAGATTTCTTCTCTGCTAAAAGGTTTTTCTTTGGGTTGTTTTTCCCTCCTCTGGTTGAGGGTGAACTGCAGAGGATGTCTCATTTTGTTTAGTTCTTTGAAGCAAATTGTGAGGTGTGAATATGGGCTGTATCAATCAAATTTGATTGATTGATTCTCAAACCCCAAAAAATTGAAACAGACACATAAAGAATTTGAATGTCATCTTAAAAAGCTTATTTTCCCAAAATGCCTGTTTTGCCTCATTTGCTTTCAGATTTTAAAGTAATCTACCTGATATTTATTTAGAGCCCTGTGCATCTTTATGTTATGGAGATTAAATCTATATTGTTATGACACATATCAACTTGTATCCCCACAGAGACAAGTTCAGTAGAGAACCAGGATGCAGAGCTGACAGACAGCCAACCATTAAACTCTGCTCCTCATGGAGACACAGTTACAAAGATGGAGACTGATACAAGGTTAATAAATCATGTTATATGTGGACCTGTTCATATGTAGAGACTCGTTTCCACTGTTAACTCTCAATGTTGATAAACCCTTGTTGTCCATGTTTCTCTCCAGTGCATCAGATACAGAGCCCACAGTTCAGAGCAGCAGCAGCAGTGGAGTCGTCTCTGGCTCTTTTTCTCAGCCAAAAGTCCTAGCAGAGGTGACGCAGTTTACCTGCATCCAGAAGGCTAAAGCCTGGACAGAGCGACACCACATGTCCCGGAACGCCATCCAGCGCCAGAACCGTGTTCGCCAAGGAGTCCAACACCACTCCTTCAACCTCCAACAGCCAGGGCATCGCAACCTCAGCCACTGAAGCTGTGGTTGTAAACCGGGAAATAATCCTAAAGTGTAAATCATTCACATTAAAAAATGATATAACACACACACACAGCTCAGAGCTGAAGCTTTTTAGAATTGACTCATCTTTTTATTTTACAGATAAGCTATACCTCTAATCCTGAAGCATGACAACTGTTACCAGGTAATAATAGGCAGCTACATTATAACCTGTACTGTGTATGAATTTGAAAGGAACACGTTTACCTCATGAAATGAGACACACTTTGTTTTTTCTTGTGCATTTGATGATTTCATTACACGAAACATTTTGACAAATTAATGTGATTTGTGTATTAACCTGCATTTACCAACATGAAGTTTGAAAATGGAGCAATAAAAAATGAGACTTTGCAGCTTGTGCTTTATTAGTGAAACCATGACGTCTGATTGACAGTGAACTGCTCACAGTTTGACTGGTGCAAATGTTGAGATCTCATTGGTTGGGAGGTAATTGTACCTGCTGTGCTTGATTACATGTCAGGCTGGGGGAGAAGAGTGCTGTCTGTGTATATTTTTGTATTATTGGAGGGTTTTTATTCAAAGTGAAGATGGATGTTTCTCCTGAAACTAAACTCAACAAGCAGATAACAACTAGTTACAGTAGTTTTGCTGGTTCGTGTCAGTTGGCTGATGGCTCATCACCAAGAGACTTCACCTGTGACTTGAATAAAAACCATGGTGAGAGGATACAGGTACAGTGTACAAAGTGATGGTTTGCAGTTTTCAGCAAAACAAGATGCTGCTGGGTTTCTCTCCCATGATGCCAATTCACATGTTAATCTCCTGACTGCATGTTAATGGAAAAATCCAGCAGCATCTCTTTGTCCTGGGCTGAAATCACCACATTTCCACTCTGCTATATATTTACGTTTCCTTACTGCTGCCACCACAGATCTACGCCATCTCACAAAAGAGATCCCTCTGAAAGAGTTTGTGTCTGGTAGTCAAGAGCTGTTCAGCCTAGACCTGTCCAATCTCAAAGAGACAGACAGAGACGGTTCCAGTCAGGACAGCCTCACGCCTCTGTACGCTGGATCTATCATCTTTGCCTTTGGATTGACCATAATCTTGATCCTGCATATTTATCTGGGGGAAAGTTTGGTATGTCATGTGGTATTAGACATGCAAGTCAAATCGCTGCTGTATTATTTATCATCATCATTGTTGCCCCTCAGGTGCGAGTTAAAGGTGTGCTAGTGTCAGATCACGAGCTCTGCAGCGCACTTGGCCAAAAAGTCCTTCAGGATCACGGATCGAGTGTGGATGCAGCCATCACTGCCGCCCTGTGCTTGGGTGTGGTGCATCCACACGTGTCAGGTGTTGGTGGGTAAGTGACTGACTGGTGGTTGCTGTAAAAAAATAGCCGCAACTGTGTCTCATCCCATGAACTCATTCTCTTCCTGTAGAGGTGGGTTGATGCTGGTGCATGACATCAATAAGAATGAAACCAGGGTGATAGATTTTCAGGGAACTGCAGCTGAAACACTTCCAGAGGAGATGCTGCAAAATGTGTCAGAGCTTGAGGTGATGTAAAGGTGGGGAGGGGGCCAGTGCTGCATGTTGTTGATTTCATTCTTTAGCTTGTTAAGATATAATCTAATCTATAATCAGGCAGGTCTACAAGTAGGAGTGCCAGGTATGCTCAGAGGGTTACATCATGCTCACTCCCTGTACGGAAGGTAAGTATATGTGGATACAGTAATTTTCTTCTCATATTTAGTTTTCACACATGTCTTAGCAAAAAATCCTTGCAGTCTATTGTGGGAGGATGTGGTTGCCAGAGCAGCCGCTGTTGCCAGAGAAGGTTTCAATGTGTCTTCGGATCTCGGTGAGTCAAACAATCGCTGTTTAGATTTCTCACTTAGTCACAGTTTCATCTGATGATGATGATACCTGGATGCAACTGTAGATTTGTCTCCATCTTACAGCTGAGGCCATATTGAAGGTAAAAGGTGAGAAGCTACCACAGCGCTTCAGGGACGTGTTCTTCCCTCGGGGTCAAGCTCTGCGTCCTGGTTCTTTTCTGAGGATGTCCAATCTGGCAGGAGCCCTAGAGGCTGATCTGTCAAACTGTTATAATAGGAACTTCTCACAAGAGATAGTGGATGAGGTAATTCACTTCTAGAATTCCAAATAAAAACTGTTGTGAAATGTTGCTAGAGTTTTAGGAGAGACAATCATTCAGAAGTCAGTTAACAGTCTTCTCTGTGGTTTCATACCAAGGTGCAATCAAATGGAGGCGTCTTGAGCATAGAGGATGTTTGTAACTACACTGTGGAAGTTGAAGAACCAGTTAAAGGCCTATATGAGGGTATAGAATGAATTTAGTTCAGCGTACACTGTACTGTCTAACTATTCTTGATCCGTTGATCAATATTGTGTTACTTTTGTCTCAGAGTTTATCATCCAAGTTCCTCTCCCCCCGTCGGCTGGAGCAGCATTGATATTAGCTCTCAATGTGTTGGAGGGCTTCCATCTCAACGAGAAAAACAATACAAACAATCAAACAAACCACTGGGTTGATGAGGTACTGGATTGCAAATCTGCAATATCTCAATGTTTTGTATAATGTAAAATATAAACTGATTCTGATTCTGGTTCTGATATGGAATTCTCTTCTCTAAACATAGGTCCTGATTGGAGCTTTAGCTATGACCATTGGTTTGGGTGACACTAAACATAACTCTTCATTAACTGAGCTGCTCTCTGACATGCTGAGGTAAACTACACATTTCATCAAAACAACTGCAACTAAAGATGATTTATACCTCTGATTGAGCTTACAGTAATGGTTTATAAAAAATCAGAAAGTAGGGACAATTCCAAATATTCAGTGCTGTCATATAAGTAAGTATTAAATCTTTACATTGTAGGAGGTAAAACAAGGAATATGTGACTTTTTCCAAAGTAAATGATTGGTGATAATAATTTATTTGTTGTTCATCAACTATTCAATCAATCAGTTCTAATTCAGCTCAAACAATCATAAATCGTGTTTTATTAGACTTAAATGTCTCTTGCCTATTGCTAACTTTTCATATTCTGTGCCATAGTTTTGTGTTGTAACTGAAAACAAATCAGCTAATCACTACATCAGACATGTCAGTGAATTTGTGTTCATCTTCTCGCTGCTTCTGCTTCACTAACTCATGCTGAGTTGCTTCGCCACAATATCAGTGACTCCCACAGGACTCTGCACGACTTCACCGTCAACTCCCTCCAGCCTGAGCTGCAGGCTGGACGAGTCGTAGTCATGGGACCAGATGACTTCATGGTGTCAGTTGCAAGGTGAATGTGTTAATACCTACACTCTGACATACATGATCACACCAGGAGAATATGCGTGACGTGCACATTATTATTATTTTATCTCATCTCTTATCATTGTGACTTCATAGTTCCTTAAGCCGGCCGTTCGGGAGCAGACTCATGACTCGGTCAGGTGTAATTCTCAACAGCCTCATGCTCGACTACTCCTGGCCAAATAAAACAAAAGAGCAAACCATCCAGGTGCATTTAACCACTAGAAACCAAGAAACCTAACCTAATGAAATCTTCTTTAACGTACATATTTCTATCTGCTTACAGAGAAATGGTGTCCAGCCAGGAAAGAGGCCCCTGTCGTTCCTCATGCCCACAATAGTGGTGCCAGCCAGGCATAAATGTGGGATCTATATGGTGCTGAGCAGCTCAGGTGGACAAGAGTGTTTCAGTGCGACCACACAGGTTTGATCACATCATAAAGGTTTGAATTCTAATTAGATTTTTAATCCAAAAACATCCAGTCTCTCTGTGTTTTAGGTGTTGATCAATGCACTGTCCAAAAACAAAGAGAAGAATGTCAGCGTCTCCCTGAAAAGACTCCACGTGCCACACGGACCTCTTGTTGACTGTAAGTGCGAGACACAGTAGAAGTTGACATTTGCCTCTTATGCTTGTAACATTTTTATATAAGTAATTTCGTGTGTTTTTCAAATCCTCCCTCATCAGTGGAGTTTCCAGCAGAGGGTGTTCAGGTCTTTCATCAAAAGAGTCGTGCAGCTCTGGGAGCGAAGACAAACTGTGTTGTCCAGGGGATCCTGAGGAACAAAGACATCATTCAGGCCATATCAATACCCCAATTATCAGATGATTTATAATTTAAACCTCATTAACATATCTGGTAGTACTGGGGTAAGCTGTTGTGCCAATGAACGGTGTATGTTTATGGTTTGTGTGCAGTGATCCCACCCTGCAGAGGTCATTCCTCTAACAAGAACTTCCTTTTAAAAATACGCAATAATGTATTAATATGTGTTGTCTTCAAAGTCATTAATTGAAATGAAAGGGAAATAAGTGAGCTCCAGACTGATGTTGTTATCAGTAGTAGCACCACACGAGTGATGATGCAGGTTGAGCAAACATGAACACTGTGACTATGCTGGAGAAAATGAGGGTGGTTACATAAAACAGATGCACACTGAAGATACTGTCAGACAGGCTGTGTCAAAGGCTCAAACATATCACGAGTTGATTCTGCAGGAACACAAACATGTCACTCAAAACATTGCACTCCAGGCATCGGTTACAGTCATGGAGCCAGTGTCCCTCCATTCCTCAAGTGTTCTTTCCTTGAGTGAGTGAACTTGTGGTGTTTGAGAAATGCTTGCTTACTCCTCAGAGGTTTTTTTTTCTGTCAGGCAACTACAGTATGACCCTCACCCTCCTGACCCTTAAGACAAAGAAGAGCGTTCTTACCCCTTTAAAATGTCTTTGAGAAATGTTGTCTGCTGTAGTTCAGCCATTTCTAAACAAGGGAATGTTCATCAGTTTGTCAACTTCGCTAATATGTTAACTATTTAGCTCCAGATGAAATGACATTTATGTCCCCTGTGACAGGCAAGCAGATTGGCAGGCAGGCAGATGTGGGTAAAAAAGGTTTTGGAAGACAACAATGTGGTAAAGCATGTTTTTCAATCTCCAGGATAGCAGAGGAGGGCGTGGGATCTGAGCACTCTGTAGGTCTCCCAAATAATGAATAATGAACCAAATTAAATTGTTACCTGCACCAAGGTCCTTATGTTTTCTACTCCTGTTCTTTGTTTGGTTGTGTGTTTATTTGCTTGTTTTTTTTTTAGCAAGATTACACAAAAACTACTGGACGGATTAACATGAAACTTGGTGGAATCATGTACTATGGGTCAGGAAAGTTCCCATTAAATGTTGGTGCGGAATAAATGTCAGGATTTTTTCACTTTAACATTGTGAGACAGGGCATTTTTCAACATTATCACAGATTTCGGAGGGAATAATACATCAATCTTGTTAATAAAAATCTGGTATTTTAGGGGACTGATATTTATGAGTGTGTGTAATTTGGTGCAACTTGATTGGTCCTTGGATGAGGTAATATGAGTGCCATTTCAGTTATTATAATTATTTTTGTATATTTTATAAAGTTTGTGTAATTGTTTTTTGTGTGTTTCTTTTAGGGAGCAAAGACACCAACCAATAATTGTGTTGATAGCTGCAGAGTCAGGGTTGTTTAGCTTGGCCACAATGTACGGCCTCTGTTCCTTTTCTGAAAAGCATGAAGGCATTGGGAGGCTTCTTCACATATAACATGTTGTCACCCTCCTGACTCTCACGCTTTGTCTTTCTTTCGAAAAACAGAGTTTGAATTACTGCTGTGTAAAACTGTGATAAACAGCCTGAGGCAGTACAGGGTGGGATTCCTCCCTAAACAACTCTACCACTTTCCAGGCCATGTTCAGCACGGCCATGCACTCCATCTCCTCCATAATATAATCAAATGATGTATGACATGTACACACTATGTACATAATGTGCACTTACTATGCTTTACATGTGATGTCAACATGGTACATGATGTTTTTATTCAACATAAGAAAAACTGGATGTTGGCTGTGGCTGAGGGGGTAGAGCGGTCGTCCTCCAACAAGAAGGTCGGAAGTTGCTTGGGCAAGATACTGAACCCCGAACTGCCCAATAGAACAACAAAAAAGTGCTAGCTATAGAAGCACTGTATGTGTGTGAATGGCAAACTGTAGTGTAAAGCGCTTTGAGTGGTCATCAAGACTAGAAAAGCGTTATATAAATAATACCATTTACATTACTGCCTTATCCATAAGCAGCTCATATACTTTCCAGAGAACCATTATGTCAATGTCATCATCAATGTCCCTGTCTGGTCTCTGCCCTCTGAAACACTCCATATTTACTCAGTGATGAAATGTAACTAAGTACTTTAAATAGTCAAATTATATGAATTATTTAAACTAAACAATAAATACCAGTTTCAAGTTCAACTAAGTTTTGAGTCTATAGATTTTTAATAATGTGACACAGTAGTAGCTTATACAGAAAATACTAAAAGGACTAGACTCGGATCAGGATGAGACTAAATAGAAGAATCTGTTTTTCATTACTAAGAAAAAACATGTGCAGACACTAAAAACAACAGAAGAAGAGCAAAGGTGATTTACAATCATGGCAAAGGACTGCATCTCAAGGATGGGTAAAACATAGGAAGTACAATTTTACAAATAAAATTTTGACAAAAGGCAGGAAAAAAATGAGAAAGTGAAATAAAAAAGAAAGAGAGTCGGTGGAGAGGAGCACTGCTGAAGATGTGCAGTGATGGGAGGAGGGCTCAAACTGCATTGTACAAAGTGTCCCGTGGACGTCTCACAGTGCAGATGGGAAGACAATGATCAGGTCGCTGACACTTTATAAAAATACTTTCACAACTTATTTCATCAACAGTTATTGTAAACAAGGAACCTAAACATATATCAGCTTTGGTGATGTTTATTGAAGAAGGGCCCAAAATAGATGTGATCTAGGCATGAAACACATCACTCCACTTTTGAGTGAGTTTGTTGATATCAAGGCAATTTTATTTAGAAAGCACCTTCCAAACCTAGAGGCAGATTCAAGGTGCTGATTAGTACAGTTATTGAACAAACGGCTCTCAACCCCTGATCAATAATAATAATTAGGAGGATTTAACCAAATGTATTCATCATAAGGAGATTCTACCATGACACCCCCCCCCCCCACACACACACACACACACTTTTTTTTCAATTTAAAAGAAAACTATTTAAAATGCACAGATCAAAAAAAATTTCAAGCTAAATACAAGATTAAAAGTTGATCTCGACGCTTTGTGATCACATTAATGTTGCACAGATAACAACAGGGAAGCAGTAGTGAGGGCGGAGCTGAATGTGGGCGTCGTCGATCACTAGTTAAATCCACGCACATTGACCCCCCTCTTCAGTGAGGAGGAAGAGCTCAGTCGGTCCTGCAGGCACCTTTGTGTGTGTGTGTGTGTGTTTCGTGGTGCTTTCATTCATGTGCGGTAGAAATCACTCTTCACAGAATAAAGCGGTGAGTAAAACAAAGCTTTTGTAGCATCTCATGTGCTGAGTTAAAAGTTTAATGTTATCATCCTTATTCCCGAGAGTTGTGTTGAAGTATCCCCTCAGCTTGTTTACATAAAGATCCTATAAGCAAAATCTATTGCTGGGACAATTAGTTTACTTACACAAATAGTTTCGAATGCATATTGTGTAATATGAAGTACATTTTTGTGTGGATGCATTTTGTGGAAACCTTGTTTCCCTTCAATTTTATGTTGAATTAACCAACTGTAAATATATATAGTACATGCTGTGTTCTGCTCCTAAATTTATAGAAGGAACTATATAATGTGGTGCACCTTACGTGCACATAATATGAGTAGTTTTAAAACCTTGTCGGAGTGACATACTACATGTGATGAGCCACTCATGTATCAGGTGTCCCACGTTGTTGGTGGAGTGAGACATAAACATGATGCTTTATCCACAGCCCTAAAATAAGTGGTCTTACACTAGTATATCATTGTCTTTATATTGTCTATGACGAGCTGGTAGTTTATTTTCTTTGTCAGAGATTGAAGGAGTGAGGCTACAGTGTACAAGGACTCATGTATTCTCCTAACATTGTCGTCAAATAGTCTGAGAGTGAGGGAGTGAGGCTACAGTGTAACAGTACAATGTATTTCTACAGGTGACCTTCTTCAGAACTGTTTATCAGTGGAAATAAAGGGTGTTAACATGGAGCCCAAAATTGTTGTGAAGGAGAAGTATTTCATTGTGACACGAGGGAAGTCGAGGAAAGGCTTCTGCCGGGGATGTATCGGCCGTGTGGAGACCGAGACACAGCGTGGAGAGCTGATGGGACTCTTGTACCATGGTGGCAGCAACGTCGGGAGCCCCAAGAGTGGCGGCATGGTGCGGAGGGAGGACATTTACCCTCTGACCCGACACCAGGCCCAGCTTCTGCTCTTCGTCTCCTCTTCCAGTAAGCGCCTGGAATTGCTGTGCAACCCCCAGCTGTTCTCAGCCATCTGTGAGCTGACTCAGGACGACCTGGTGGTGGTGAAGCACAAGAAGGGACACCTGCCCGGCCTGGTGAAGAACCTGATGCAGATTGGTAGGAAGGAGAACAAAGATGACCTCTACATGCTTGGCTTTGAGGTGGAATTTGTGGTGAGTCATGTTGATCGTAAAGTAAGGTTGATTACCTCAAGGTTTGGGTGTCTTGAATAAAGCAGCTGAATTATATGATCTGTCCTAAGGTAATAATTGCACTTGCACACTAGTATGACTCAAGAAGATGCACTGCAACAAGGATGGCTCTGTAATCTCCAGTCATCTGGCGGTTATCAGTCAAAAGATTGCCATAGAGATTTTCAGCTCTCAATGTCATATTATGCAAATTGTTCACTTGCTTCAGAGAATTTACCTGTGCTCTGTACTCTGAGTGCTTAAGTGTCGCATGATTGAGTTTGCTTTTTATTAACTGTTAATTTTGTTCTTCCCTGTAGGACGGTGATCATAACCTGTTATCCAAGAAACCCACTCCCCTGCCCTTGTTCAGTGCTGCAGACATCATTCAGGTGGTCCCGTCTTACTCGGCCCCCCTCGGACTGCGCTGGAGAGAAGGACAATGTAAGTATGAGTAATATCAAAGTGCTAGCTCGTCAGCTACCTTCATACGTGCTTGATTTTATGAAACAAAATCCTTGTCCCACTCCCCCACAATTAGCGAATGAAATCCTGTCATTGAAAGTTTTGACCAAATGCCTGGGGCTACAGAGAGGACAGAGAAGAAACAGTCCTAGTACACAACTGGAAAAACTGGTTTTGTTGCGTCAGAATGCAGAACACTACATTCATCACATGGTCTGGCGTGCATATCTCATATGTAGACCTGTTAGCACAATCTGATGAAGAAGCATGTGACAACGCCAAAAAATGTCATATGACTTTCTTACCGTCATCCTCACTCCACCTTCCATACCTCTGTGCAGGTCTAAACACAAAAGCAGTGACACGCATCAACTCCATGCCAAGCGAATCTTCCCGTGCACGCCAAGTGATAGAGACCCGTACGGAGCACAATGTCATTCAGAGCACATCTCCTGCACCTCTGGAGGTGGGATCCATGGTGGAGGTTGTGTCCAACTATGGGATCACAGTGTACGGGGTCGTCCGGTGGTTGGGAGTCCCTGCAGGAAAGACTGATGAATGGGCTGGGATCGAACTGGTGAGGCACCAAAAGTTTCTGTTGTCAAGTTTAGTTGGCGTCATGCATCTAAGACACCCCTGTTTATATCTGATTATTTTTCTTGTTTCAGGACTATGAGGTGAATGGCTGCTCTGATGGGAAATATGGAAGCCAGAGATATTTCACCTGCAAAGGGAGCAGAGCTTTGTTTGTTCCTGTCACAAAGTGCAGCCCTGATAGCAGATTTGTCTACTCCTCCACAGGAAGTTGGACCCCAAAACCCAATGAAATACCTCCCGGTTAGACATTTTCTTAGTTTGGTGGGACATACACTCACGCAAACAATTTACAAATGAACCATATGTGAAATGTTTCTGTAAAAAGTTAAATTTAACTAGGAGGCCACCTGGAGAGTGCATACATCTTTCAAGGCTTTTACACCCTAACTCGCCATGTTAAAGAAAGTGAAAACAAAAATTCTGGATCTCAATGGAATCTGCTCCACAAGTCAATGGGTTCTTCCCTGACCCATACCACATCATTCCCCCAATTTCAAATAAAAATAGTCCCATGGTGTTTGTGCAATCTTCAGAAAAGACAGAACAAACAGCAATGAAAACATGACCTCCTTGAAAGAGGTGCTTCAGAACTTCCATGTGGAATGCTGTGTAGTACACTGCATACAGTC